TAATTTTTCCTCCTTCCTGAAATGCCCCTTCCCCTCCTGATCACCCCTCCTTCCATCACCTTCTCATCACACTGTCTCACCTTTCCCTCTGGCACATCTATTCATCTTTCAGCCCTGGCTCAAGTGTCACCTACTCTCCGAAGCCCCCCTTTATAGCTCCACCCTCAGTTCTCTTGGGAACATTTTGCACATCCCTCTATTCCAATACTTATCACACTGTTTTGTAAATATGTTGAGACTCTTTCCTAGGAGATAGTGAGCACCTGAAAGAAAGACACCTAGTCATCATTGAATCTCCCTTCATACTTATGAAACAAAGGAGGTGCTGGATACACACGTTTCAAATAAACAAACAAAAAATCCCACAGTCCAGACAAGACACAGACACAAAATTAAACAACAGAAAGCAGTAGAGGAACCAGGAGTTATGTATCTGGGTATCCTCCATGGCACCTAGCACAGTGTCTTGCATGTAGTAGTAGACTCTCAGTAAATGTTCTAAATGAAAAGTTGAGAAAATAAGAGTCATGATCATTTAAATCTGGGAGAACTCGAGGATGGGACTTAGAAGCTGGTATCCACCAATGATTGCATCTGATGCCTTCAAACTCAGTCCATATCCTCTCTACCTTGCCTCCCCTGCCTGTCAGCTCGTTTGAAGTCAGGGTGTCTCTTATTCATCTTTGTATCTTGCATTCTTTCTCTATTTACTGGTATCTAGCCAGAGGCTTTGCACATGATAGACATCCAATAGGTATTTGTTGCATTTTTGTTAAAAACTCAAGATTATGCTTAGTCCGTGTGGGATTTGTATAGGCTGCACAGAAGAAAGCAGAAATCTAAAACAGGGACAGAGCAGGGGTGAACTCATTCTCTATTACTACTTTAACAAATTACCACAAACTTAGTGGCTTAAAACAACACAGATTTATTATGTTACAGTTCTAGATGTTAGATGTCTGAAAACAGGTCTTGCAGGGCTAAAATTAAAGTGTTAACAGGGCTGTGTTCCTTCCAGAGGCTCTAGGGGAGAATCTATTTCCTTGCCTTTCCCAGTTTCTAAAGGCTGCTGCATTCCTTGGCTTAGGGCCCTGCATCCCTCCAACTTCTGCTTCTGTTGCTATGTCTCCTTCTCTCATTCTGACCCTTCTGCCTCGCTCTTAGAAGGGCCCTTGCGATTACATTGAACACACTCAGATAACCCACGATAATCTTCCCATCTCAAGATCCTTAACTTAATCACATCTGCAAAGTCCTTTTTGGCATGTAAAATAACATATTCACAAGTTCTGGGGATTAGGACATGGGCATTTTGGGGGAACTAAGCTGAAGACATAAAAATGTACGGGGCACCTGGGTGGCTCAGTCGTTAAGCGTCTGCCTTCGGCTCAGGTCATGATCCCGAGGTCCTGGAATCGAGCCCCACATCGGGCTCCCCGCTCCGCGGGAAGCCTGCTTCTCTCTCTCCCACTCCCCCTGCTTGTGTTCCCTCTCTCGCTGTGTCTCTCTCTGTCAAATAAAAAAATAAATAAAATCTTTAAAAAAAAAAAGACATAAAAATGTACAGCAAATGTTTGGAGGTGGACGTTTCCAGCTGAAGCAAAGGGTTCATAAAATATTAGAGCCAGGTAAGATAGGAAAAGTAGATTGAAGGGGCAATGGGGTTTAGAGTTGATATAGACCTTTGAATATCAGATTAAGTTTTGGCTTTATCTTGTATAAAGTTAGAAACTTTGAAGGTGGGTGAGCAGAGAGTTAACAATGAAAGCACGAATCTAGCAGACTCCAGAAGTCCCTAGAGTATGTAGATCTGGTGGTCAAGCAAAACCAAAAATAAAATGTTGGGGACCAAAAGACCACATAAGGGTAAATACACTGCTGTTTACTGTCTTATTGAGTCTCTTCTTTCTGCTGGATGTTCCTTGAGCAACTGTTAAAAAAGTGATTGATGAATTATTTCCCCTTTTGAATTCTCAGTTTTTTTGTCTAGTAAAAGTCTTCAGTATATTATAACTCTTCTGCTTTAGAAGAGTCTGCTACAGCAATTGGGAAAGTATGTGTTTGGGGAGGAGGGGAGGAAAAGGGGGGATAAGATGTGAGTGAGTTGATTGATTTGTCCAACTGTTTGGAAGAGGCTGATCTTCACAGGAGAGAGTTTCAGTGGTCTGAAAAGACAGGGACTCCTCCACTTTTGGGTTGTAAGCAATAGAAACAATGCAGACTGACTCGCAAAAGAGAATTTACCAGCTTTAAATAGCATCCACATGGGCGCCTGGGTGGCTCAGTTGGTTAAGCGACTGCCTTCGGCTCAGGTCATGATCCTGGAGTCCCGGGATCGAGTCCCGCATCGGGCTCCCTGCTCGGCAGGGAGTCTGCTTCTCCCTCTGACCCTCCTCCCTCTCATGCTCTCTGTCTCTCATTCTCTCTGTCTCAAATAAATAAATAAAATCTTTAAAAAAAAAAAATAGCATCCACATGATGATGATTTCCAAACTGATACTACCAACCTAGATCTCCAGATTCATTTATATCCAATTGCCAAATGGCTAACTCTACTTGGATGTCCAGTCAGCAAATCAAACTCATCACAGTCAACACCCTGTTTCTAATCTTCCCTTTCTGGCTCTCCCTCAACAAACCTACTCCTCTCTCCATTTCGGTTAGTGAAAACTCCACCCTCCCAGTTGCTCAGGTCAAATAAAAACTTTGAATGTGGAGGGTGAATAAAAGATAATTCCAAAGTACCAAACAATACTATTGGTCCTACTTTGACCATTTCCGGGGCTCCTGCCTGGCTCAGTCAGTAGAGCATGCAACTCTTGATCCCAGCGTTGTGAGTTCACACCTCACTCTGGGCATGGAGTTTACATACATACATACATACATACATACATACATAAATAAATAATTATAGAGGTAACTATGTATCTATAGACAAAATGTGGCAAAAAAATTTTTAAAAAAAGAATCTGACCATTTCTCTCTGCCTGTACAGCTCTCCTGGTTCAAACCACCACCATCTCTCCACCTGTATTATCTCACACTGACCTCCTTGCTGTTCCTCTAACACATGACACATAGTATGGACTTGCCATCCTCTCTGGATCATTCTTCCCTCAGATATCCACATGGCTTACTCCCTTACTTTCTTCAGGTCTTTATCCAAATCCAAACGTCATCTTATTACTGAGGCCTTCTCTGACCATCTTATTTAAAATTTTAACCTCTCTTCCACCTCTATCCCTTTTTAGTTTTATTTTCATTAACACTGATCACTAGCATCGGTACATTTTACTTGTTTAGTTGTAAGTGTAAATTCTGAAATGGCAAGGTATATGCCTTTTTTGTTTACAGATGTATCTGCAAAACCTGAAACAGTATCTGACATATAATAAGCTTTTCAGTAAAAATTTGTTGAATACATAAAGAAAAAGTCAAGGTGATAACTTCAGGCATGGTTAGATTCAGGTTTTCAGGGTGTTGCTAGAACTCTGGCCTCTTAGCTTTGCTTTCCCCAGCAGGCTTGAAGTGTGATGGGTGAAGACATGATGGCTACCAGCAGCTCCAGATTTACATCCTAACAATCCAGCAACCCTAATGGAAACAGAGTGTCTCTTTCCTGACTGTTCCAGTGAAAGAAAGCCTTGGAAATGAGTCTTATATTCTGGGTTTGGGTCAAGTGTTGATCCCTAAAACAGTCTCTAAGGGTAGGGGAAGAAAATACTGTGACTGGCAGGGCCTAGGTCATAAGGCCTCCTGGAAAGGGGGTGAAGTTCAGTTCCATTTGGACTGAGAAGAGGGAATTGGTGGTTCCCTAAGAGGAAATGGGGTGCTATTACTTGAAGAAAAGGAATGGAAGCTAGGCTAGCAGAAAAAACAGATGTTCATCACATCATCAGTGATGACCCACCAGCAGACCTAGCCCAGAATAGCATTATTCTTCTGCACCTCCATTTTCACGTCCAGCCAGATCAGCTTCTGAACTTTGGTAAGATTCTCTCCTCCGAAATGCCTTTTCACCTGTCTCTGTCAGTTGAAGTTTTCCTCACCCCTCAGTGCCCAATTCAAATGAGTTCATTATAACTCTTAATGGGCGTGGTCTCTCTCCCTCTCCTGAGCATCCTAGTTGTTTCTTTTTTCTTTTTTTTTAAAGATTTTATTTATTTATTTGACAGAGAGAGACACAGGGAGAGAAGGAACGCAAGCAGGGGTCGTGGGAGACGGAGAAGCAGCTTCCCGGGGAACAAGGAGCCCGACGCGTGGCTCGATCCCAGAACCCTGGGATCATGACCTGAGCGGAAGGCAGACGCTTAACGACTGAGCCACCCAGGCGCCCCATCCTCGTTGTTTCTACTTCTCGTGTAGCTAGCTTTACACACTGTGCCCTATATATTACATATTTGTATGTTTTACGAGCTCCTTGTGGAAAGGGCCAGGTCCATTTCCCGGACGTCCAAGTCAGCGCCTCACACCTCCAGCAACCACGGTGATTCGATTCGCACCGGAGCCGCCAGGGCGCGCTAGGCGCCAGGCGCGAGGCCGCCGGGGGGGCGGGAGGCGCTGTGATTGGCAGGTACTGTCGTCAATCAGGCGCGGGGGGCGGGACGGGATGCTCAGGAGGCCTGTAGGCGGGAGGCGGGCCCTGCATGAATGGGGCGCGCGGTGCGCGGGCTGTAGTCGGCGTTCGGGGGTGGGGAAGCCGGAGTCTCGGCCGGGAGTGGGTGGGAGGAAGCCAAGTGGAGGGGGGGGGGGGGGGGAAAGAGCGCGAGGGGGCGGGGAGGGGCAGCGCGGGAGCGGCGAGCAGAGAGCGGCCAGGCGGCGGGTGTGAGCGAGAGCGGTGGCCGCCGGGTCGGTCGCTTCGGTGCCGCTGTCCGCTGCGCTGCCTCCGCCCTCGCAGCGCGTCACCGCCTGCGGGACCCCGAGGAGCTCTCAGCGCCCCGTACGGGGCAGAGGAGTCGAGACTAGGGGAGCCGACGCTGAGGGAGGAGCCGGGTCGGAGCGGCCGAGCCCAAGGCCCCCGGGCGTGGAGGTGGGGGGCTAAGGCCCCCGAGGGGGCCCCGCTGCGATGGGCAACCTGGAGAGCGCCGAGGGGGGCCCGGGCGAGCCGCCTTCAGTATCGCTGCTGCCGCCGCCCGGCAAGATGCCGATGCCTGAGCCCTGTGAACTGGAAGAGAGGTTCGCCTTGGTGCTGGTGAGAGCTGAGCCCAGTCCCTTCCCCCTCCTACCGTCCCCGAGGTCCCAGTGCCCGGGGTAGGACTTTGCCCGGGTGTCCCTAGCCGGCCCACCCCTTCGCGGGGGGGGTTTCCGATAGACACAGTGTCTTCTTGGCAATCTCTGAGCAGCCGCTGGTCGCCCGACAGCCCCGTCGGGGACCTCCCGACCGCGGCCTCAACCGCTGGACACAGGAGGAGGGGTCCTCAGCCTGAGACCTCCCCAGGATCCACACTTCTTCCTCTTCCCTACCCCTTCTTCAGCCCTCGCACTTCCCCCGCTTCCCCGACAGCCTTCCCAGGTCCCTAGAATTCTCATTTCTAAGCCTCTTGCTGGTGCCGGGGAATTCAGAAACCTGGGGCCGGCCCACTCTTCAGCCCAAGTTAGGGTTCTCTGACTGGGGAGACCGCCTCTCGTGTTAACATGGAGGCTTCCCAGGGAGTGGGTCCCACTTCCAGCCCAGACCAGATGTTTGGGGGAGAGGTGGGGGAATGGAGAGGGGGCTGGGAGCTCTCGAAGGGGGTGGAATAAAGAGTGATGCCATTCTACTTATTTTCAGAATGGCCTGCAGGCATCCTGCAAAGTTATAGTGGATTTGTCTAAAAGGCTGAACATGTGGATAAGCCATTTCACCAGTGTATTTTTACAACTGAAACAATACACAAACCATCCCGCCTCCTTTTTTTTCCTCCCTCTTTATGTTAAGCCCTAGTGGCTGGCTTGTGTTCTTTTGCCTGTGCTTCCTTTTAGACTTTCTGTAGGTTCCCCAAAGATCTGTATAGATGAATCTTAAGGCTGCTTTGGGATTCTCCTTTGGTGTGGGAACTGGACATTGGTGTCAGTGGCTCTGTGGATAGGGAGGATCTGAGCTGGTATCCCTGGGATGGAGCCAGGAAATATGTTGGAGGTAATAATGAAGTTTTGGGGAAAGAAAATGAACGAGGTGATGGAACATTTGCTGGCAGAGGTAAACCTTTGAGAAATTTGGGGAAATAGTTCCCAGTCCCTCAAAGAACTCTCTAAACAGGCAGTGTTAATGCTGCTGTTATTGTTATTGTTGGTATGGCCTGAAGGGCCTGCTTTGCCTTTGCCCATGTGGAGGGAATAGTTGTGGACCTAGCAGCCTTATTGGATTTCATCTGCCTTGGAATAGGGAGATTAGATCTATTGGCAACAGTGGGACTGTCTAGAGATCCTGGCCTCTCCGATGGTGGAGAGCCTGACATTAGCCCACACTGGTACTGCAGCCAGCTCAGAGGCATTCCAAGGGGAAGCGATGTTACTGGAACCTCTCTGCCCACCAGCTCTGCGGAGGGCCAGAGGGATCTGGGCCACACATCCTGTGGCCCTCTGCATTTCCCCCAGCCTCCTCAAGGGGATGGGTGAGTCAGTGATTACTGACGTGCTATGGCCAACTCAGAGGCTGAGGAGGAGAGATTGGGATTTGGTGCCCTTGAGAACAAGAGCTCAACTGTTGGGGAAAAGAGTGGGAGGGAATCTGCACTCCAGTGGGGGTGTGAATCCCGCCCCCCCCCCCCCGCAGTGAGCTGGCACGAAGTAGTTACAGAAATTGGAGAGAAAGGAATAGTTTGAGGTGGACTGGGTGGGGAGCTGCCTTAGGTAGGGGCTGCCAGGCTGTTGGTCATGAGAGCTCAGAACCAGAGTTGATCGAGTTCTCATTGGAACTTGGTTGACAAGTTTGTTTAGTTAGTTGGCAAACTGATGGCTTAATATCCACAAAATGCACGTGGTGTCCTGATTAGTAACCACAGCACCCAGAGAGCACAGGTCAAGCGGGAGCCGGGACCACCCACTTGCAAGTTATACTTTCTGTATAAAGTTTTGATTTGTTTCCTCTTGGCTTTTGTTTTGGTCTTGTTTCTGTGTGCCTGAGCTGCTGCTGATGGGGGGTTGGAACAGGGCAGGCCAGGGCTAGTTAGCTGTCTTATGGGAGGAGGGGATTTTACCTCACTTTTCCAACACAGGGAAATCATGCTTTCTTGGGGATTTGGGTTCTTCTCTAGGGGCTCCTTCCTCTGCTTCTGAAACGTGCCCTTTTTACTATCTTTCTTTCTCCTGTCCTACTGTTTGGGAATAGTACTGGCTGTTGGATGTTTGACCCTGGAGCAAGCTCAGGTGTATTTCCTGAATAGTCAGGAGAAGTGGAGTGTGTGTAGTAGAAAAAGCAAGGGCTGTCTTAGTAACTGTCTTAACCTCTCTAAGCCTCATCTATACATTTTAAGACTTCCTTATCTAGAAGATAGGGTAATAATTTCTGTCCTAGTAGGTTTATGAGAATTAGATGAGCCATGTATAATAAAGCCCTTGGTACTCTGTAGGTACTCCATATAGATTAGCTTTTTTTCTTGATTGTGTGAGTCAGACAAGCTGCTCCTTTCTTACTTTTTTCTTTCCCAGATTGTCAGCATCATTATGATTGATTTGATTTTTGAAAAAGCTGTTTGAAAGTTTGTTGAGGTGACATATTGGTGCCCTGATTAAACATATGTACTTTCAAGTCAAAGTGGGCTCAAATACTGGCCTCTCCACAATCTCTAGTTAGAAAAGTGTTTGGCCTTAAGCAAGTTGCTTCATCTCTTTGAGTCCCAGTTTCTTCTTATAAATGAAGATAATAATAGTATTTGCCACATGAAGTTGCTGTGTGGATATAATGAACCTGGAAGTCAAGTACTTAGATAGCAGAGTCTGGCAACTACTATATGCTCAGTAAATGGTAGCTTTTAAATTTGTAGCTCTCAGCAGTGACTCAGATCTGAGATCACTTGTATTCCCAAAAAGGATTTTAAGTTTAGAAATATGATGAAACCAATTACCTATTTTGTGTAGCTAGTCTCAGGATATGCCTTCTTCTGTCAGATGGAGGGCTTCCCCCAGTTCCAGTGTATCTGTGGAATACCCGCCCCCAACCCCGAAAACCACACTGGCTGGGAAAGTTGTATCATTGTGAGTCAAGACCACAGGCTCCCAGCTTTCTGGTGTAGACACATGATCTGACACACAGCCTGACAGCCGAGGTCGGAGAGCTCAAGGTCTGAGGCCATGAGGTGATTCATTCAGGACATTGATCCCAAGAGTCCTAACCTGGCCCAGTGCCCTAATCCAAGGCTTCCCCCTACTGCTCTGCTGGGATACTGATCCGCTCATCCCTGGGGGCAGCTGAGGTCCCTGATTGGTCACCTCTGACTGGGATCAGTTCTACCATTTTTCCAGTGTGCTGTACAAATAATATTATTTTTCTGGTGTGCCCCGATATGAAAAAGGTTGGGCAGCTGTGTTATGCTGTCTCTCTGGGATCCTTCCTTACCCCCTGTCTGAACAGCAGCTCCTATTCTTTTGAGTACTGAGAAGTTTAGGGATGGTGCAATTATTGGAACCTCTCTATCCATATCAGAATGAGAACCCATCTCTGGTCTGATAGAGCTGCAGTCTGTGTTTTGGTCCCAACTAGATTACTACCCAACCTCAATTTCTCAGAGCTAGTATTCTGGCCAGTACTGGCCTTTGCTAAGACAGAGAGGGGAGGCAGAGGGCTTTAAGGGCTTTGAAAGGATAGCTGTCTGCCCTTGCTGTGTTTGCACCCTCATTTTTCTCTTTGGTGACTTATTATGGACTTGAAATGGAGTCTAAAGGTTCTGACACCAGAAAAAGCCCTGCTTATCCCTCAGGAGGAGGCTCTCAGGGCAGAAGGGTGGGGTTGTATGACAGCCTGTCCCTGCCATGGGTCCTCCGCTCACATTTCCCTGGTGATGACTGATGGCTTTGGGTTTTGCTGTAAGTGCAGCATTGATGTGGGAGCTAAGCTGGTCTGGGTGCTAGTTGTCTAAGAGGCTTTGAGGGCCTACTGTGACACAGAAAGGGGCTGGGAAAAACTTGGACTAAATATCAAGTTCCAAATGACTACGATGGAAATTTTTTCCCAGCCCTGGGGATTGTGGTGAATTAGTTCAGGCTGGAATAGGACATGGGGGAGGGAGAGGACCCTTGACAGCAGCTGGTCAGAGGAACCCCCTTGCTCAGAGACCTCACTGAGAAGACCTTACGCCACCAGAGAGGAGCCTCATTCCCTTGACCTTCCCATATGACCCTGCCTTAGACTGAGGGAGGTGCGTGGGGGGGTGGGGGAATAGGACTGATGGAGTGGGCTTCTTGTCATTTGGGAGTGTTTTCATTGCTCAGAGGGAGTTTCAGCTTTTTTTCTTTTTTCTCTTAAAGTAATACTCATTCCCTGAGAAAAGTATGGGCAATTTAGAAAGAAGAAAAGATTAAAGATTTATATTGAAGAAAAACATCCGTATTTTCTCTAGTTCCTTTACCAAATGGAGCCAATGTGTTTTAAAACCTTTCATATTTTTTTCTCTGCACAAGGTTTTGTACAATGTTGTAATATTGCTATATATTTTTTAATCCAGTTTGGGGTTTGTTTTCTTTTCCTTTGGCTTTGTTATTTCACTAGTTTTCCCAAGCCAGTCATTGTAAACATTTTTAAATGCTTGTACAGTGGCCCCTCAAGTGAATGTACCATTGTGTACTTAACTGTTCTATTGTTGGACATTTAGGTTGTTTGCTTCTGTTTGCCTTCGTAAACAATGCTGTGATGAACATCTTGGTGTACAAAACCTTTTCAATATTTAGAGTTTTCCTTAGGATAGAAACCCAAAATTGAACCGGCTAGGTTGTAGGACATAAAGTTTTTAAGGTCCTCAATACATATTTCCAAATGGTTTTTAAAAAAGGAGTCATGCATGTGAGTATCCTCAAAGGAAGGGAGGAGGATTGAGAATAGCTTCTTTTCTCCTGATTATGACAATAATACATGTTTATTAAGCAAATTTAGATGTTAAAAATGTGGGGCGCCTGGGTGGCTCAGTCGTTAAGCGTCTGCCTTCAGCTCAGGTCATGATCCCAGGGTCCTGGGATCGAGCCCTGCGTCGGGCTCCCTGCTCCGCGAGAAGCCTGCTT